TCCATGGGTTATGCAGATATGTTCTTTGATTAAACCCTTCATCTTCTTTCATCCACTCCCTCCCTCCTCCTCTCTTCTGATAGCTGTCAGTCTGTTCCTGTATTCATGCCTCTTTTTCTATTTTGTTCATCAGTTTATTTCGTTTATTAGATTCCACATATAAGTAAGATCATATGGTATTTTTCTTTCTCCAATGGGCTTATTTCACTTAGCATAACTACCTCCAGGTCCATGCATGTTGTAAAATATAAGATTTCCTTGCTTTTTTATGGCTGTGTAGTATTCCATTGTGTAAATGAACCACATCTTTTTTATTCACTCATCTACTGATGGGCACTTGGGCTGTTTCCAGATCTTGGCTATTGTAAATAACATTGCTATGAACATAGAGGTTCATGTATTCTTTCTGATTGGTGTTTTGAGATTCTTAGGATATAGTCATAGAAGTGAGATCACTGGGTCAAATGGGAATTCCAGTTTTAATTTTTTGAGGAAACTCCGTACTGTTTCCCACAGTGGCTGCACCAGTCTGCATTCCACCAGCAGTGTACTAGGGTTCCCTTTTCTCCACATCTTTGCCAGCACTTGTTGTTTGTTGATTTATTGATGGTAGCCATTCTCACAGGTGTGAGGTGATATTGTGGTTTTAATTTGTATCTCTGATGATTAGTGACATTGAGCATTTTTTCATAGGTTTACTGGCCATCTATATGACATCTTTGGAGAAGTGTCTATTCAGGTCCTTTGCCCATTTTTAATTGGATTATTTGTCTTTCTGGTGTTGAGTTGTATAGTTCTATCTATATATTGGAAATTAACCCCTTATCAGGTATATCATTGGCAAATATGTTCTCCCATAGAGTGGGTTGCCTTTTCATTTTTTATGGTTTCTTATGCTGTGCAGAAGCTTTTTAGTTTGATGTCGTTCCATTTATTTATTTTTTTCTTTGTTTCCCTTGCCTTAAAGGCATATCAGCAAAAACATTGCTATAAGAGATATCTGAGATTTTACTGCTTATGTTTTCTTTTAGGATTTTTATGGTTTCATGCATTACATTTAAGTCTTTTATCCATTTTGAGTTTATTCTTATATATGGTATAAGTTTGTAGTATGGTTTTATTTTATTGCATGTACTTGTCCAATTTTCCCAGTACCATTTTTAAATCTTTATTGTTGAAAGTATATGTCCCCTTTTTTCCCCCATCCCAGTACCATTTATTAAAGAAACTATTTTCACTCCATGCTCTTGCCTCCTTTTTCAAATATTAATTGATCATATAGTTGTGGGTCTCTTCTGTGCCATTGATCTATATGTCTATTCTTATGTCAGTACCAGATTGTTTTGATTACAATGGCCTTGTAGTATTGTGATACTTCCAACTTTGTTCTTTCTCATGATTACTGAAACTATTTGGGGACTTTTGAGGGGATTCCAGATAAATCTTTGGAGTATTTGTTCTAGATGTATGAAATTGGTATTTTAATGGAAATGCATTGAATCTATAGGTTGCTTTGGGTTGTATGGATATTTTAATGATATTTATTCTTCCAACCCATGAATACAGTTTATGCTTCCACTTATTTGTATCTTCCTTTATTTCTTTCTTCAATGTACTATAGTTTTCCAAGTACAGGCCTTTTACCTCCTGGATTAAATTTATTTCTAGGTACCTTATCTTTTTGTTGCAATAGTAAATGGGATTGTTTTCTTAATTTCTCTTTCTGATAGTTCATTATTGGTTTATAAAAATGCCAACAATTTCTGAATATTAATTTTGTATCCTGCTACTTTGCCAAATTCATTTAGTATATCTAGTAGCTTTTTTGTGGAGTCTTTAGGGTTTTCTATGTACAATATTGTGTTATCTGAGAATAATGACAGTTTTACTTTCTTCTTTCCAATTTGGATGCATTTTATTTTTTCTTCTAGTCCAATTGCTATGACTAGGACTTCCAGTACTATGTTGAATAAGAGCACTAAAAGGGGACATCTCTGTCTTGTTCCTGATCTTAATGGAAATGCTTTAATTTTTGCCCATTGAGTATGATGTTGGCTATAGGTTTGCCATATATGGCCTTTCTTACATTGAGGTATATTCCCTCTATTTCCACTTTACTGAGGGTTGTTTTTCTTTTTCATCAATGGGTGCTGGATTTTATCAAATGCTTTTCCTGCATCTATTGATATGATCATGTGGTTTTTATCCTTCATTTTGTTTATGTGGTGTATCACATTTATTGACTTGTGTATATTGTACCAACCTGGAATAAGTCCCAGTTGATCATGGTGTTTGATATTTTCAATGTATTGCTGGATCCAGTTTGCTAATGTTTTGTTGAGGATTTTAGCATTTATGTTCGGACAGAATTCTCAGCTTTAGCCCCTAACCAAATCACATTTCTGTCTCTCAGTGAAGTGGTCAGATGTTTCCTTTGCATATGTATTTTGAACAAGGTGTTTCTGAGTGCTCCCGTGGGTTTGCACCTGGTTCTGAAGAACTGTTGGGCTTCAGGGGGAATCAAATAGAAACAGCTCATTGGAGCTTAAAAACAACATCAAGGATATATTGTTTTCCACATGCATCTAATGGCAAGCAGGGACCAGTGGACCACTGGTCAGCAATGTGACTGTTTTCAGGAGGTTCTCTTTATTGAGAACAGAATTTCCAACTCCTGTTCTCTGGACATTATGCAAAAACCACAAAATTTAAGTTAGAAAAATCTTAGTTGGTCAAAGTCTAACAGATATCCTTACTGCAGAACTTCTCAGACACTTTATGCATTTCAACTGAGAATTTTCCCGAACGTTTTTGGCCATTTTTCTGGAGCCTTCTAGAACCCTTTTTTCTGGAGTATCCAATAACACTGATGTTTAGTAGTACACCCTTTTGGAAATGCTACCATAGAATATATTGCCAAAAGTTGCAGTTTTGTGGTCTATGACATAGTCCTGCTCCTCAAAACTGTGGAAAGGAGAATGGAATAGAGTGATAAAAAAAATACACAGCATAGCCTTGGCCTGTGTTCTTAGTGGTTAGAGCATCGGCCCATGCTCTGAAGGGTCCGGGCTTGATTCCTGGTCAAGGGCAGGTACCTGGGTTGTAGGTTTAATCCCCTGCCTGGTCAGGCCATGTGCACGTGGCAACCAATCGATGTGTCTCTCTCACATCAATCTCTCTCTCTTTAAAAAAAAGTTAATGGAAAAATATCCTTGGGTGAGGATTTTTAAAAATGCGCAGCATAAAGCCAGATGGGCTTCTATGTGTTTTGTAAAACAAAGACTAGCCATGATGCTTCAAAAGTATGACCAGACATTTTCTAGTGTTCTTCTTAGCAACTGCCTCCTGGTACAAATAACTTCTTTTCTATACCATTTTACAGCACAGATGCCATTATTTCTTTAGCATGAACCTGGGTTTTCATTTTCAAATTTCTGAATAAAAATTTCATCATTTTCAAGTTTATGAATAAAAGTAGCTTTTAAAAGAAAGGAACTTAGAAAACACACAGACTTCCTATGCTACTTTTTGTTGTGAGTTAATATTACTAAAAAGAAGAATAAAGCCCATCCTGGTTGAATGTTATTCTTCCCTTTACTCTGGTTAAAATAAGTCATAAATTACTGAACTAAGCAGACTCAATTATGGTGTGAAGGATGACACTAGGCTCATTTAGAAATAAAGGGAAAACTTCAATTCACACGGCAGAGATGAGCAGCTCTGTCCTGCCACCGGTTGTTGTACATAAAATTTTATTGGAGCCGAAGCCGGTTTGGCTCAGTGGATGGAGCGTCGGCCTGCGGACTGAAGGGTCCTGGGTTCGATTCCGGTCAAGGGCATGTGCCTGAGTTGTGGGCACATCCCCAGTAGGAGATGTGCAGGAGGCAGCTAATCGATGTTTCTCTCTCATCGATGTTTCTGACTCTCTATCTCTCTCCCTTCCTCTCTGTAAAAAATCAATAAAATAAAAAAAAAAATTTATTGGAGCACAGCAGTGCTCATTTACTAGTATTTACATACTAGAGGCTCAGTGCACAGAATTCATGCACTGGTAGGGTCCCTAGCGGCTGCCAGCTGCCAGCTGCGGCCAGGGCCTCCCTCCCTCCCCCCAGCCGGCCTCACCCCCTGGTGGAACTTCCGGTCAAAGGGACAATTTGCATACTATGCTTTTATTATATAGATAGGATTGTCTATGGCTGTTTTCACACTTCATTAGTCATTGCAATAGAGATATATCTATGGTCCTCAAAGCCTACAATATTAACTATATGGCCCTGTACAGAAATTGTTGCCAATCTCTTTCATAGATTCATAGAAAGATGTGGAAAAGATGGAGATTATATAACCACCCCCTCCATTCTATAGATGGGAAAATTGAAACTAGAGATAATAAGGAATTTTCCGGATTTATTTATGCTTGCATGTTCTAATCCTTACAGCATAATAGCTCTAACAACCATGGAAGACAAAGATAGATTTCAGCTTAGACAGCAACCCCAGCTGAGTGGGAGTGGCCCTCTGGAGTGCTGGTTGGGAAGACTCAGTGAGAAGGAAACCAATGGCTGACTAACCTTGCATGGTCCATCGGCGGGAGAGCAGAAGAATTTGTGCCATGTAGGCCCTATGGATGCACACTCTGCTCCACACATTAGAGCAGTTAATCTCTTTCCTTGAATATCTGCTGTGTAAGCACTTTCTTCATTGGCCCAAAACAGAGGTGCTGCATGGGGCCTCCTTAAAAACACAGCTGCCCAGCAGTTCACACGTGATTCTCGTACAAGCTCATTCCGATATCTTTCTTAGCAACTGCCAACCACTTCACGCTCTGCCTAAAGGAATGTAACGTGGGATTTCATTGAAACTGGACTTGTCTGTTACAGGAATTTTTACTTTTAGTGAAACATATCCATAGAGCACAGAGATGGTGTGAGATGGAAAGCCTTGAGTTTATTGGCTTTTGTGACGCAGACTGAAAGTCTCCATGTTTGTGTTTCTCGCAGCTGGACAATCCGGATGAGCAGGCAGCACAGATCCGACGGGAGCTGGATGGACGACTCCAAATGGCAGACCAAATAGCCAGGGTAAGGAGACTGGGGACATTTGCTGGGGGACCAGGCCAGAGTCCCCCACGGAAGACACATTATGAAGAGTCATCAAAAGATAAAACTGAGGATGATCACTCTGGGCCTCCACCCCCTCAGGGCAACTCTCCCAGACTTAGCACCTGTATTTCCCAGTCTCTATTCATCACCCAAACTCCAGCCTCACCTTTCTGCTGAGTCCCAGATTGCTATTTCCACTGGCTAGTGAACATTTCAACCTGGACAGTACCCTGGTATTTCAAATGGAATGTGTTCAAACTCTGACTCCATTCTTCTTCCTCTGACCACATACATACACCTACATTTATCCCCCTCACTAGTCTCCATCAGGTACTATGGATGAAACCTCCTAATCATTCTCAACTTCTCCTTCCTCCCCACAGCACTCCCTACTCAACCAGCCACCCAGTTCATTGTCTCCGCCTCCTAAATGTGGCCCCGATCTTGTACTGCTTTCTAGCACCACAGCTAGCACTTTGATTCAGACTCTCATCTTCTATTCCTGAATCTTAAAAATGGCCTCCTAATGGGTATCCTTGCCTCCAGTCCCTCCCCCTCTCCTGTCCGTTCTTCATGCAGTTGCCATTATAAAATTTATATATGAACATCTCAAAACAGAGCCTCAAAAATCATTCCATAGCACCCCCTATTGTCCCCAAAACAAAACATTACCTCTTTAGAATGATATCCAAGGGTCTTAATTCATGGATTATATCCTTCCTTATTAGCATCACCTCCCACATCTTTTCCACCAGAAATCCCCATTCCAACTATGGAGAATGTCTCCCTCTGAAAATTCCAGGCCTTTCCCAGCCTTATTGACTTGGTACCCACTGGTGTTTCAACCTGGAATGACTTTCTTCTCTCCTCCAACTCAGCCTCCAGTACTCAACTTAAAACCCCTCGCTAAGAGCTTAGCAGTTAGTTCTTCCTACTTTTGTGCTTTATTCATGCCACTTATGAACCTTTATTACAACAGTACATTGAATGGTGGTGATCCGTTTACATGTCTGAGCATCCCAGTAGATTGGGTTTCCCAGGATTGGGATTATATCTTACTATTGATGACTGTTTGCCTAAGTATTATCCCTATCCCTGCTAGATATGCTAGCAGTGTGTATTGATTGCTGACTCTGTGTCAAGCATACTAAGTGCTTTACATGTACTATCTCATTCAATTCTCAAAGCTACCTTATGAGGACATTTCAGTTATCACTCCTATTTAGAGATGGAAAATTCAGACTGAGGAACTGTTAAGAGGCTACACTGCACCCTTAACTCAAATCTGAGTTGGGAAAAGGGTGAGGTACTCAGCCCAGAAGCAAAATTTGAAAGTGGGAGACAAATGGATTCATAAAAATATATAATATTTTAATGCGATATTTTACACTCATAATTAATACAGAAAACATCTATGAAAAAAACAAAATACCGAAATATTAAATAACCTATCTTACTGGTTCTATGGTAGCGACAGGCATGTGTGCATGTGAGGGTAGGAGCTGTGGGAGAGGGAAGGGAGGATGGGAAGAGAGTGGAGCTTGGCTTTCAACCTTTCTCTGTGAAAAGAAATATCTCAGGACGTGGACACAGGAAAGAAATTCTACTGGAAGAGAAACTGAAGAGAGATTCCAAGAAGCATGCAAAGCCCATTTGTGCTCACGCAGTTTTATTGAAATGTTTTGTATCTTGTTTTTGGACACCTTCAAAGTTTATAGTACAGTCAGTCTGGTGGTTAAAAATAGTATGCAGTTATGGATTTGGCTAAAGGTAGTATAAATGGCTCTTATGTTTGAAAACCCTGCTTAACATGGGAGTAAATATTAATAAGGCTTTAGAATTTACTTCTGCAAACTCTGTCTCCACAATAAATTATGTTGAAAATGGAGGTTATTTGCTCCATTCCCTGCCTTTAGGTAACAATTACACCCCAAACTAAGTATTCATCCCATTTAAAGAAAATCACACACACACATACACACTTCAAAAACAAGATCATGGCACCTTTATTTTAGTTGTTTTGTTTACTTTGAGGTTTAACATGATAGTTTCAGAACCTAGTGTAGGATAATTTTAATGTTTAAAACACCATGGATGAACAACAGTCATATAGTGATCCAAGTTCCTCATCTCTGAACAGTAGATCGAAGAACTCTCTTCAGCCCACACCATCAGATATTCTGATACCAAGTAGAATATTATTAACAACTTAGAATTAGACTTTCTTAGGTAATGAAATAGGCAATTAAAGCAAATCTTGTAGATTATAGAGCATGGAGAACAATTTCAAAGTAGATGGAAGGCCCCCCAAACGTTTAGGGTACAGAGGATTTGTATGAAAATCTGCCCACTACTGTCTCCTGTTCTGCTTGAAACTGACTGAGTTAATTGGTCCTGGAAGTGAGCTCTTCACCTAAGTGGAGCCAGTCACATTTCTCAGCCTGCCCTGGCCATGGTAATTGGTCCTGCCCTGGCCATGGTAATTGGTCCAGCACTGGATGCAACTAAACCAATGAGTCCTTTCCCTGGGCTATGGACTACATGCCAACAGGGCTGTGCCTTTCAGGGGTAGGAAGATGTCTGCAGCTATTTTTAATTCTCTTATGTGGGGACAAGAAGAGGGGAGAGTGAGGCCAACATAGAGAAAGAAGCCGAGACAGGGACTATACTGAAATTCTCAGGATGGTCAAGTCCCTGGATCTACTTATTCTTGAGACTCAGCTGCGGAACTGCTTTTCCCTCAGTTTAGTTGGATTCCAAGAAAAATACATTCTGTTTTTGCCTTAAACAAGCTCATCTCCTAAACATTGAATAAAATATCAAGATCTCAGATATTGGCTAATTCATGAAGAGATACTGAAACGGGCACCCTGCTCTCTTTCAGCACGCCCTGATTTTCCTATCTCCGGCATCCCACTGGATTTTAGCAAGGGTGTGCAGCTCAACCCATATGGCTGAACATCAGCTCCTGTATATTTCATAACCAGAAATTCCTGGATGAGGATGTCATCCATATAATTCACTCTGTTCTCTGAATTAAAAATGGGTAGAGCATTTTGATTGAAAGTTAGAGGCACCAACTAGAGGAAGCTTATGTAACAAGAGTGGATTAACTCTAGGGATTTAGGAACGTCTCACAGAGCTCATGGGCAAGATGCAGCCAAAACTCAGGAAGGAACTGGAACCAGGGCCTGCCAAGTGGTCAGGACTTCCCTCATCTATTAGGTCTGTGTGTCCCGTTCATCATTCCTTCTTTCTCTGCAAACCAGCCTTCTTTGCTTCTCAGATGGGAACATGGCTGCTACACAGCTCTCCGTGTTTCCAGTGTGGCCAAATAGGAAATCATTTAGCCAATCAACCTCTCTCTCAAATCTTCTCCCTATCTCCCTTTCCCCTCTTCTCACTACCACCTTCAATGTCATAATTTCAAGAGACAGGCCTCTGATTGGCTGACTTTGTTCAAGGGCCAACCCCTGGAGCCATTAATAATCCACTGTGGAAAGAGAATGAGGACCTCACCAAACACTTGGATGCTGGAAATATGCCACTGAGGGTGAGAGTGGTACCTGAGAGGTCAGGCTGTGGGTGAAGTGGTCATTATGAATTGGGAGACACCTCAAGATATGCCCCAAATAAATAACTATTACTTACATGGTATTTACTATGTATCAGACTTTCTTCTAAGCATTTTGTATTTAATAGCCTCCAATAACCTTATGAAAAGGATGCTATCATTATCCCCATTTCATAGAGGAGGCTGAGCAGAGATAGCAGAGGACTTGGCCAACGTCACCCGATGACCAGAATCTGCAATCTTAACCACTGTGCATACATCACCATTATGATAAGCCTTCCCAAATGCAGACCCTCATTCTCCTCATCACCCCAGGCCACGGCTCCAACATGCCCTTCACCCAGACCTTCACCTTACCTCATCCTGACCTCTCTCTCTCTCTCTGGTAACCAGTCCTTTATTAAATGTGTCAGGCTGTGCGATTTCACCTATACTTGAGAGTAGGTTTTGACCTGGGACAAACAGTCCTGGGAGTTACAGTAATTCCCCCACTTTTGGCACATTGAGGAGTTTGTGATGTGCCCAAGCTCACTCAGCTGGTAGGGAGGAAGCTGAGTGCTTTAATGCCAAGTTTCACGCTCCTCTTCTGAGCGGTCAGGTGACAACAGGAAGCTATGCCAGGACAGGCCTGCCCCAGGTCCCCTCTCCCTAGGGGTTGCCCCTCCAGGAAACTGCTTTCTCTCTTCCACTAAACTTAGCTGTGTATTCTCCTCCGTTTATCCAGAGGCCAAATGAAGCCACAGCAGCAGGCAGAACTGGCTCCTGGAATTCTGAGTCCTTTCTACTTTGATTTCTTTGGAATCTGGAAAGGAGGTTGTAGGACCCAAGGTTGTCCTGCCCCCAGCATTCTCATCATCACACACGTATGAAAGACATATGTTTGCCTTTTCTTCTTAGGAGAGAAGGGAGGCAAGTGCAAGGTGGCTTTCCTCTACCCACAGTCCTGACACAGTACCTATCAATTCAATCACACCAGCTCCCCACGAATTATCAGACAGGAACCGCTGCCCTCACCCGCACTGTGAACACCAGTCATATGCTGCCTGCAAAGTTCCATGAGCTCTAAATGTATTTTTTTTTAATCTGGTAGAAAAGACTTCTTAATCCCTATTCAAACATGTTCCCAAATCCTCTCAGGTTGATAATAAAGGGTCCCCAAATTTCACCCAGGGATTAAGTCTAAGTTATTTAAACTGTGTGATCAGTAAATGACACTGGAGCTTAAACAGGCAGGTTGTGCATTGGGGCTGCTATGTGATATTTGTCAGTCCTTTGGCCACATTTTAGGGTAAAATTCCCAAACTCTTGGGCTAATTAGATAAGACAAACAATATAGCTTTTGTAGTATTAGTGGCAAAAGTCTGGGTGCAAAATAGCATTGTTTTTTTCAGGCTATCATTTAACT